GCCTCCTCTCACTCGCCTCCTCTCATTGGCCTCCTCTCGCTCACCTCCTCTCACTCACCTCCTCTCACTGTCCTCCCCTCGCTGTCCTCCCCTCGCTGTCCTCCCCTCGCTGGCCTCCCCGGTGGCGGGAGTGAGGGGGGGAGGAACACGCGTGTGAGGAGAGGCACAATGAGGACAGTGTGTTTGCTTCAGCCAACTTTTAACACCTTTGTCCTGAAAAGAGTAAATAAAGTTGATTTTCTCTGAATTGCTCGAGTAGGAAAAAGTCGTTAGCAAATACAACGCGGATAACTGTGATTGTTTGGGGGAGCAGATCTCCGCAGATGGTGGGCTGCAGGGAAATCTAGAAGGAGAAGACAAACTCAGCCCAGAGACAATATTCCCCTTATTTTATAATTCACCTCAAGCCGTATTTAATTACCGATCTGCACGGGGGAACAACAGCCTTTGAGCAGCGGCCCGCGGGGGAGTCGGACCCGCGCCCGCCTCTTATTTGAAATAACAACGTGTCAGGATTTCACTGCAAATTCATTTTGCACGGTGAAGAACGGGACATTGGTTCCACACACAGGAGCTGTAAGTCATTTGTGGTATTTATCTATTCTTCAATCCACTTATGGTGGCGAGGGCTCCTCGTGTGTTTCTTTGGAGGTCACTGCTGAGATTATCATCGAGCAGGAGCGCCGATGGCGTCGCGGTTACTCCTTTAGGCGGCTCGTCCCGCCGCTCAGCGCAGAGGTCCTGTAACATTTTCAGCGCGCTGGGGGAGATAAGCTCCGGGATGCAGACGGCAAATGTGATTAAAACGCAGATTTATCCAGAGTCAATGTGCTGCATTAACCACGGACACGGGGGGGCGGGGGGGGTGACGTGCTTTCATTTCATTAGGGGTCCCGAAGTTTGGTCCCGCGTGCTTCTTCTGCACGATGTGCAGAATCTGTGCTGCACCGTCTTCCTCACCGGGCAAAATCTGCGTTTGTGAATCTGAAAACCGAAGGTATTGATTAGACGGTGCGTTCGTGGACATCGCGATAGGCCCATTCTCCCCCCCCCCCCCCCCCCAAAAAGCGCCTCGCAGCAAAACCAGGGGGCGCGCGGCAAAAGCGTGTCGATGCCATCGTTAAACCGAGCTGCAGGGCTCGCCCAGGTGTCTGCCAATGCGTCCTTTCCGTTGTTGCTGTGAGGAATCACGTCAAAGCAGAAAAGCTTGAGGGCACCAGAGCGTTAATGTGGAAAACACAACCGATCGGCATCCTCCTCCGCCTCGGCCCAGAAATCACGTGCGCCGACGGCGCGGCCTTCTTTTCATGCGTTTGTTTCCCGGCGGATCCCCGGACACGCGCACCAGCGTCCGCCCCAGCCGACTCCTACCGCCCGATGTGGGAGCCCGGGGACTGGAGGCCCCCGCATGAAGCCGTCACATGAAACTGTCTCCTCAGAGCTGCCGCCTCAGACGGAATGGGCAAATATTTTATATTTGGTTACTGCTGCGATTAGAAAGAACGTCCGATTTGTGTCCCAGATAGTTCCCCGACACTCGGAGCTCGGCCAGCAGCAAAGAGATGAGTGAGAGTGAGATATAAACATGAATATAAATATATTGGCCGGGGGAAGGGAACTCCCGCCAGCAGCGCCTCGCCGACAGAAGGGGGCGGCGACGGGCGTCGTTGGATAGCGAAGTTCTCCCGTTTCTCCCGAGAGGCCCGACCGGATCCGATTTCAGCCCAACCGAAATAACTCCCAGTGTGCACTCTGCGTGACCGCACCCGTCCCCTCCGAGCGGCTCGGTCGGGGTGCTAATTTAGCCCGTCGCTGACGCCTCGGCGATGGAGACAAGCCTCAGTAATTTTCCACTCACGTCCGTCGTGTGCGTTCTCCGAGCCGTCACTGTCAATTTGACAGAGTTCCACGTGAGTCGTCCATTACTCGTCTCTTTGGGTTTTAGTCGATTATTTCAAAGAGTCAATGGGTTTGAGCAGTTTCACAGTATTGAGATATTGTGTTGGAGGGTAACACGTACTTTTCATGGCTGTCAATAGATTAAAAAAATAACTAATTAATCCCACATTTTGAAAATGCATTAATCGCAATTAAAAGTTGTAGGTTTTTTTTGACACAGTGGTGGTCTTCTGCAGGGTAGATGGAAGTAGCATAGCAGCTAGCTTAGCATAGGGGTGCGTAAAGTGGTCCGCTTGCCCCTCGCACCCCTTCCGTTGGTGGAGTGATTCGTCTGCTCGGCTCGCCGCTGTTTGTTCTACTTCCGATGCGTCTTGCTCTCTTGTGTCCGTCTGACGGCAGCCAGCGGCGCTTTCGTTTCCGGGGTCAACTTTGTCTTATTATTTTTGAGTATATTATTGCATAGGTTAACACGTTCATTTTGACAGCCTTAGTATTTTTCCTATGTTGTTATGTCGAAGTGCCTGATGGGGATTAAAGGTTTTAAAATAAGTCCACCATCGCAGAGCTGCCAACTTTTCAAAAAACCTCGGAGTGAGATTTTGTCGACCAAAATTTTGCTTGAGCTGAACATTCAAACAGAAAACTATTGCTGTGCCTCAATGACTGTCTATGTGCCACAATGTAGCCTAATTAATAGACCCGTGTTTAAGATTTGACCCCATTTAGGTTGATTGACATTTTGGTTACAATGGTATTCAACTAATTCTTAACTGAAACCTCACCTATATTGTTAATAAGTCTATTCTTAAGAGCACTTAATGATTTGTGTTCAGCAAAAAATTACACAAGTTCAGTTAGGGAAAAATAATTTTTCATTATCAAACAAAAAAGTGCAACAAATAAAGTGCTTAAACAGGAGCCCTTCAAAGCAAAACAATGGATACACATAATATAAATACACATAAATAAAATAATAAAAGATGAGGTATTAAGAAGGCGATCAGGTGCTGGTTAGTAATAGTTTATTAAGGCTTAACAAACAATGCGGTGGTGTTTTGAGCGTGCAGTACACCAAGAGGTTAACACGGCGCTCTCCTGCTGCTTGTTGTGACAGTTTACATTCACCACATTTAAAATCACACGCACAAACACAACTAATCATTTCTTTCACGATTTAAAGAGAGTGAGTACTTAACACGTCATTAACACACCTTAGCGGTTGTGTCTGTTTGAAAACCTTCTTCTGTCGATAACTCCGGGACTCTTTGGGGTCAACAGGATGTCTACGCCGCGAATAGGTTCACAGACGCGCTGCTTAGCGCCATCTGTCGGCGGGGAGTTTGAACAGGAACGAACGCGCTTCGGCCCAAAATCTGAATTTAGTTTTTTTGCGGTGAGGAATTGGTTGTGTGGCGTGAGTGCGTGTGAAAACATGCATGCGAGTTGGTGGCTCTGCTACTGTCACTGTGCGTTCACTATGTGCTGGTTTGATGGGCTCCCATTGTTGTTAAGTCTTTTTTTTGATCTCTTTGCGCTGTGAAGTCTCTTTGGTCTCGTTGGTGAAACCTTCTCTCTTGTCTCCTCACTGTCAACCGTTAAGTCACATGACTTGACAAAAGAAAAGTTCACGCAGACGATTAACAGAAGAAACGCTGACGGGAGTCTTTCCATTCGCGCGGAAACTCTCGTCTGACGGTGATAAAATATGCAGCACGAACCCTGTTGACGAGTGACAGGCGGGGGGGGGGGGGGCGCTCGCTGTCCTGGAAGAGTCTCTGGCGTCTGTGAAGCGGGAGACCCGAGCGGAGACGTGGAGACAGCTTCAACAAAATGAAGCGCGCATCTCCAATTATTCCCACGCACGGGTGAACGTGAACCGCCAGGTGATCCTCCCGGGGGGGCTGTTGTTGCCGCGACAGCACAGGCGCCGCCCCCCCACAACGACTCCCCGTCGCACGCCGACGGACCAGAATGCAGCGGGGGGGGGGGGGGAGAACATTCTTCCCGGGCGGGTAAAACCGCGAGAGGCTCAATGTGAAATGTCGTTCTTCAGGTCAGCGGGTCGACGACGGCCTCTGGCACTCGGTGAGCGTCAGCGCCAGCAACCAGCAGATGACCCTGACCGTGGACGGCGAGCCGCCCGCCGCCATCCAACTGTGGGAGCAGCTGGAGGCCGAAGGCGACGTCAACTTGGGAGGTTTGTGGATATCGGGGAGTTGGGGGAGAGAGCCCCTCCAGGGGAAAAGGGCTTAACGGTGTCACTCGCAGACAGGATGGCTGGTTATGCTTTGTATGACAAGTTTCCTTAAAACGGTATGTTCCAATATGCAAATGAGGCAGAATCTTATTTGAATGCTTTTCCAAAACAGGAAGGACAGTTCAGACGTTCTCGTTTCGTTTTGTTGGCACATTCCAGTTTGTAACAGAAGAGATTTTAGGTCTTAAATCAGAAAATTCAGAATAAAGTAATGATGTAAGAGCTTCTGGAATGGAAATGTCTTCTTTCCCAAAGCCCGATAGCGGCGATGTTGAGGAAGACAACTGGCCCCAACTGTCACTCATTAAACCACGTGTCCTTTCCCTTCCAGGATGTCCCACCGAGGACTGTCAGCACCTGACTCCGGACTTCCAGGGGTGCGTGCGGCTCATAGTCATCAACGGCCACCCGATGGATCTCAATCGCGTTCAGCAGGGGCTGCTGGGAAACTATAACGAGCTTCAGTTCGACACTTGCAACATAAGAGACAGGTGAGGTGGTTTCTACGTCTCGTTTGCATCTTCCTTTCATGAGCGAGATCTTGCCGCAAACTCCCCACAGTCTGAGGGTGTCAAACCTCTGCGAGGCAGCAGACACTTATTAATGCCCACGTTGTTCATTTGAAGATGGCAGTGTGTTGCCTGCGCAGCTGACTGAAAGTCGCTGACATCTTGTCCGAGAGAGACAAACACACCGACAAGATCATCCAATTACACCGCAAGAGAAACGCTGCAACACCCTTCCTGGAGGAGGACTTTGCTAACAAGCTGCTCCCCCGCTGTCCCGTGCGGCATCCCTCCGCGTCCCCATCCCTCATTACCCTGCACAGATGTGCTGCCCCGCGAATGGGATTGGCTCCGCGAATGTCTGCGTGAGACAAACATGCAAACCGTCCTTTGTCAAAGCACCTGCTTTCCAGTCCAGATTGTTTCACAGTCAGGAGATGCAAACGCAACAGGGCTGCCGGGGTGTTGAATCGGCGGGCGGAAGGGACGCGCCGCAGGAAACGGCCCTTTTTTTTCTCCCCGGGACGTAAATCTTCGGCGGTTCCGTCTGAAGGAGCGATCACGCAGAAAAAAAACGCCCCGTGGCAACAGAACGTAGCTTCAATGCAGCATCGACCACTCGCTGGTCAACACAGCAGGGGCTCCTTTGCAGGTTGCCACGTGGTGGCTCGGGGGAAGGGAATGATTTAATTCATTGTTATTAATGTCATTGTTTCTGCCACATCTACTGGCGTTGAAACAGGAAGTCACCTCTTGCTCCATTTAATTAGCTGCCTCGGCGTAGTGTGACATTGACGAGCGGTGGAAGGTTCGCATGTTGATGCGATCGGCTCCTTAAGCGTGATTTTCCCTCCGAAAAATGTACCTGTTAAAGGACGACTTTGAAAGTCTTCCGGCAATTTAAATGGGCTCTTGGTGAACTAAAACGGTCACGACGGCAGGCTCGTAACTTGTTTGCTCGGCGAGGCACCGGGGCTCGACTCTCTATACCCACTTTTATTCAGCTCAAGCTTTTAATTTAGTCTCTGCTCATCTTGGATCTACCTGAGCGAATTTGAGGGGTTGCATGCTCTGCAGTCGTGCCGTACCTTTTGGTAAACCATACTGAGCGTTTTAGAAAATGCACCAGGAAACTGCACTGGGCCTCTGAGGGGCGGAAAATGCCCCAAACAAGTTGACACACAGCTCCGAAGTTCTACCTGATTTTCTTGTCGATGATGTGAAATCAAACACTTTTTTTTCCGTAGCAAAATATATAGCAAAATATATAGCAATTATATGGAAATGATCACACAGCGATGAAGCAGAAAAAGCTGATTATGATTGTTTTTTGGAGGAATCGGAGACGGTCGATTTGGTTCACGAGCGGAAGCTGAAAATAGGTCGAAGAGGAACGAGTGAAAAAAACACGCCGAGGAGAAAAATTCAGGCATAGAAAGTTTGTGACGCATCCTAAAAATGAAACAAGCCATGCATTATGCAGCAGATGTTTATACAGCAGCAACAAAGACGCTGCGGAGCTAAAATGAAATTGGTGTTTGGGCGAACACTCTTCTTTTCGCTCAATGTTAATCACACCGACGTTTTCGCTCCCCGCGATCTCTGCGTCCGATCCAACGATGAAAAATGGACTTTCACCGCCGCTAACCCCCTTTTCCTCTCGTGCGTGATCAAACATTGTGCCTGGGCTTATATACGGTCAGCGCGCCGGCTGCACCGGTTGCCCCGACCTGTGAGGCCACGGAACACGACAGAAAATGGCGCGACGGTAATTAAACCGGCGGCTGCCACCTCGCCCGCGCCGCGGCCCGGCCCGCTCCGCTGCCGTTAATAGGTGGGAGATGAAAGCGTATGAAATTATAGATGCACGCTCCAAAGGCTGGCAATTATGTGAAACTGAAGGAGGCTTGAGGAAGGGACTATTAATCAGAAGAGTGCGGTTTGAAATTTCTGTGAGGCGCTCATTGTGGTGAAATCCCATTAACAGGCATCCTAGTCTGAAGGTGACAGTGAGGCTTTTATTTTTAGCGGACCGCCGCGATACGTCAGCTCTTTCCCATTCAAACAAGGGCACAGCGAGAGACTCCATCGCTTCACGGCCCTCTGGGATTTTTAATGAAACATGAATAAACAGCAAATGAGTCTTTTGGGTGATTTCCAAAGCTCATCGCAATAGACGGGAATAAAGAGAGCGCGGAGGAGAGGTCTTCCTTAACTGATAAATAAAAGATCCGCTCTGCAAACAGCAACAAAGGAAGGAGCGTTATTGGCGTTCCCGAGGGGTTTGTGGGGTCTTTGGTTTCAGCTGTTTCAGCTATATTTGTTATGAGCGTATGAAAATGCTGGAAAATGGGCAAACGTTGAAGTTAAGAATGTATCCGTATTAAACTGGAGCTCAATGACTTGATTAGTCTACGGACAGTGAATTTAATCAGGGACTTTGGATCATAAATTCTCTGGTTTCAGCTTTTTGAATGAGGTACTTTGCCGGAGTTTTATATTGCAATTAATGAAATGTTAAACTGTTGGTTGGTGGATGTAACCAAGTGCTTCCCAGGAAGATGCCTCAATTCATGCAACAAAAGCATAAAATCCAAAAAAAAGAATAATTCATTGTGTCCTCCAAAGCTGCGCTGCTAGTGACGAAGAGTTCCTCTCCCGACTGAACCAGAAGCTTTTACTTATTCAAACTATTCAACTGATTATTCTCACTAGATGCTGAACTCTGTAAACCCTGCAGGATCCGCTCGCTCGGCGTCTCCGCACTCGCCGGCTCGCTGCATTAGCATTAGCATTAGCCTCTCCAGCGGGCACAGCGGGACGGGAGCCGGCCTCAATGTGAAGAAATGGTCTGGTCCAATTGAAGGGGTGTCTGAAAACCAGACACGGTTCGCAGGAAATAGATTCAGGTGTTTTCCTCCTTTGGGGGCGTGTCCAGGTCTTCTTAATAGCTTAGCTTAAACACACAATACTTATAATAATTGAAATCTACATTATTTATTTTAATGTTTCTACACGGGGGATAGTGACCTTGCAATTTTTACCGTTTATTTCTCAAATGTTCCCTGTCAAACGGATCATCGGGCTTGAATTTGTCCCCTCAGGTGCCTCCCCAGCCTGTGTGAGCACGGCGGCCGCTGCTCTCAGACCTGGAGCTCGTTCTCCTGCGACTGTTGGGGGACGGGATATTCGGGAGCCCCCTGCCACACCTGTGAGCATTCTTTGGCACCCCCCCCCCCCCACCCCCCCCCCCAATCCCCACCCCTTCCCCGTGCACCCCGGGGCCACCGAGCTGTGTCGTTCATCGCGCGCATCTTCGCCTCTTCTGCCAATTACTTTCTTTGATTTGCGCGGCAGAAACCGGGACTGTACAAACATCGCTGTTACTCCTTCTCTCGTAGACTATTATTACCGTTATTTGGCTTCCCTCAAAATAGCTCACAGCTGACTTCAGATTGAGTCTACGTGCAGGAATGTCTCCTTGCGGGTGTCACAGTTTTTGACACTCCAGCAGCATCCTCTTGATTTCGGCGGCGCAGACGTCTGTTGGCAGCTACGTGTGAACTTCTTCTGGCCCAGAATGCTGATTTCCTCTTCGTATGCAGGCAAACCCAGTTGTCTTCACACGTCGGAGGGAACACGACGGATCAAAGCGTCGGCTGGATTTCAAATAGCTTTTCAACTCAACAGTAAAAAAAAAAAATTATATTAAAAAATCCCCCCCCCCCCCCAAAAAAACCCCATGCAGTCATCACTTGTGACTGGAGTATCTGGGCGTCCGCAGTAGGAACACTGCTTTGCATGTGCAGCGGGGAAGCGTGTGTTGTTTCGTAAAGCCAAACACCACCACGGCAGCAGAGCGGGGACGGGATTTAAAGGTGTCCCTTTCAGCTCGTCCTAAGCTCCAACCTGGGGGGGGGCGCAGTTCGGCTGTCAGCGCCTGCACTGCTGAGAAGAAATAATCCGTCAACAGACAGGAGTGCCGACGCCGTCACATGAAAACACGTTAAAAACAATCCCGGCGTCACTCTCTGGGAATATACGGTGAGAATCCGTAATACTCGAGGTGCGGGCTTTGATTACCCCGGTAATGTGCCGCCGCCACAGCTGTGAACCGCATTGTGTGCTTCTTCCAGTTTGCCGACTGATTCCAAATAGGCAGTGAGGGAAATTGCATTTGGGTTCAAACCTCCTTTCGGACGCCTCAACATTTTACAGACCGTGAATACAACTCGAAACGAAGTGAAGTGAATGGACCCTGATCAGGCCCTCCAGTAGTCGTTTATCTAAATCCCCACAAAGCAACAGTTTGTAAATAAAGATGTATTATGCTTTGAGGAATAACTGCACCCGTTCTGCTCTTTCAAGCCATCTACGAGTCTTCTTGCGAGGCGTACAGGCTGATTGGCAGCTCCTCGGGCTTCTACTCCATTGATCCGGATGGGAGCGGCCCCCTGGGGCCCACGCAGGTATACTGCAACATGACAGGTAAGATCGTTGTAATTCACTCCCTGTCACCTTTACCCTTTTGAGTTCCTCTGAGGACTGGCTGGAAGCTGCAGTGCAAAGAGTCCACTCACTTAGAGATCGCCCCGCGATCGATCCGCGCCGCCGCGGCAATGTGACAGGTTACGATCCAGCGAGAAATCATTACGGCCACTCAGGCGGCGAGTCCGCAGCGCGTCTGTGGGGGAGGCCATCGCGTTTGTAAATGTCCGTGTGGTTAAACGGCCACGTTCAGTTAAAACCAACCCCGGCCCGGACTGGTGTTTCAGCAGAGGGCGTATTGATCGAGGCCCGGTGCGGGGAGGGGATCGCCGATCAGAGTCCCGCACGCAATCCAGAAAGACCCGCGAAATGAGCACAAACACGCAAACAAAGAGACACAAAAGATGCTACGAAAGAGGTGCGAGTAACAAAATGATGACAAAATGGCCGCTAGATAAAAAAAATACAAAAGGAGACACACAGGAGCAAAAAGGAGAAAAAACATCCACAGTGGCACAAATATCTTCACAGATCAAAACAACAACAAATAGATACAAAACAGCCGCAAATAGAGACACAACTACCCGTAAAGTCTGCGAACACAACTGGAAGCGAGCGTCGTGTGTCTGTGCCCCGCGGCTCATCGCCTCATACCCGCGTTTGGATCAAAGTGTACTCTGATGTCATTTGTTTGTTGCTGTTGTTTACATTCCTCCTGATGCAAACTTTATGAAAAAGGAACTAGAATGTTTTGCTTTTAATATTCAAACCGCATTTGGTTGTGCAAACGAACAACAAGTCTTTTTCTTTCTTTCCTCAAGATATGTGTGGCTATGTATGGATTTTGGTAACCACGGTAACACGTATGGAGATTTTCATTAGGTCCATTAAATTGTAAATGAGGAAATTTGTACGAGACGCCTATTTTCCGTTGCCGCTCTGTCATTATTCATGAAATGCAGTCTAATACTACCGCCGCTTATATTCATTATATATTCCTGCATGAGTGCTTTGAGGCACTGGAGAACATACAGTAAATACGCACATCGGAAGGCTTTAAATGCTGCATGAACTGCTGTCAGTCATCAGTTTATCTGGTCTTTAACCAAAAGAGAAACCAAATTGTAATGCGATGATGATTTGCGCTTTTCAGGTTTCACGGAAGTCATCCAAGTGTCACCATTAAAACGCTAGTCCAAACTAGTGGTCTCTAGAGGCTGCAATCTTCATTAAAGCATGGGGTCATTAAAGTCAAAAGTGTTATTCCCTTTGGGAGCACTAAGCTGCTCAGTAGATTTCATGGCGGTCTGCCATTAAATTGTGATTTTTTTGTGCACGGCTGACATCTTTCACTCTGGTTGCTGCAGAAAGTGTCCAATATGGAAATATGTATTTCCCAACTGATTTGGATTCTCTGCCTGTACGTCTTTTTTATTTGACCTGGTTATGATGATGAAACATTACAACGTTTACTGCAGACAACCAAAGATGTCGCCATCACATAACGCTGAACTATTGTGACTAAACTTGGCAGAATGTGCCAGTTTTGGGATGTAAACCCGAACTTGTGGCGTTGTTTCACTATCGCCATGAAAATCCCAAATCATTACATTACATTACATTACATGTCATTTAGCTGACGCTTTTATCCAAAGCGACGTACAATAAGTGCATTCAACCATAGGGTACAAACTCAGGAGAACAAGAAACAAGAAAGTGCAATTTCCTCAAATAAGCCAATTTACAATTTGCTATAGATGAGTGACGTTACAAGTACAATTTAAGTGCTACAATTTGTTAGTCTTTAGTCGAGGTAGAGTCTGAAGACGTGTGTCTTTAGTTTGCGTCTGTCATCAAACCAGCGTGCTAGCTCAACTTAGCATGCTAGCTCAAACCAACGTGCTGGCGCAACTTAGCGTGCTAGCTCAACTTAGCGCATTAGCTCAACCCAGCGTGCTAGCTCAACTTAGCGCATTAGCTCAACCCAGCGTGCTAGCTCAACTTAGCGTGCTAGCTCAACTTAGCGCATTAGCTCAACCCAGCGTGCTAGCTCAACTTAGCGCATTAGCTCAACCCAGCGTGCTAGCTCAACTTAGCGTGCTAGCTCAACCCAGCGTGCTAGCTCAACTTAGCGCATTAGCTCAACCCAGCGTGCTAGCTCAACTTAGCGCGCTAGCTCAAACCAGCGTGCTAGCTCAACTTAGCGTGCTAGCTCAACACAAGGCTGGATCCACATGAGATAAAACATATTCAGCAGAAAGCTGATGCCAGGAGTGTTTTTATATACATTAGAATCTTTCTTGGGGGGGCGGGGGTGAGTGTAGAGGGACAGTAAAAAAAACAAAAACGCACAGATATCAATGCTAAATTTTATGGTAATCAGTTTGCAGTCCCATTTGACCTTTAATTAATTCCAGTAATTACTGTGCCATAATTTGGCACAATAATTTATGTCTCATGGTCTGAATTCCGGAAGCCTGCAGCTTCCGCCGTGTCGCCCCATCAGACCCACTGGACGGCGAGGACACCGCGTGCTCCTTGTCACCTGAGCGTCTCACCTGAGACGCGGCGTTTGACGGACGCGTCCCCATTCTCGGCTCCCGTGACACGCAGGACAAAAACACGTCGAGTTCTGACGGCGCGGGGACGGCGTTCATCGCCGGGCTGTCACCGCTTCCTCGCCTACACTGCCCCCCCCTTCCCACCCTCAAGGTCATCGTACCGAGGAAGGGCCACATCCCCCGCCGTCTGCTTCTGGCATCTTTTGTGTGTGTTCCTCCTCACCAAGCGGAATCGTTCAGCGGCAGAAATGCCTCCACTTGACCTCAATTACGGAATCCATAAGAAATGTAAATAGCTCTAAACCCGACAACCTGATGTGAATAATCACAAAGTGGGAAGGGATTTTCTCGGAGGCAGAGTAAACACAGAATCAAGATAATGAAAACCGAGCGGCGACGGTGACGGGATGGATTCCTCGTCTAGTTTTATTGTACAAACTCTCTGTACGAGCAGCCGATGCAGATCATTAGCATGGGCGACCGAGGGGTTTCAAAACCTCTGGGCCGTGGTCCTCATGCGTCTGACTCGTTCCCCCCCCCCAGAGGAGAAGGTGTGGACGGTGCTGGCGCACAACGGCACGGCTGCGGTGGCGGTGCAGGGCTCCTCGCTCCAGCGGCCCCACGTCACCAGGTTCGACTACGGCGCCTCGGCCGAGCAGCTGCGGGCGGTGGTGACGGGTTCGGAGCATTGCCAACAGGAAGTGGTTTACAACTGCAAGAAGTCCCGCCTCTTTAATACAAAAGGTCAGTGTTATTTTTCCTCTTGCCGGCGGCGAGCAGCTCAGCTCACAGCAATTGTTTTATGCTTTTGGTACCAAGCCGTCACGTAACAGCTACCACGCTACCATTTTTTAAATTTCACTTAAAAGCGCTGCGACCGAGCGCAGTAGCCGGCGTGTCGGCCGCGACCGTGACCCCACGCCGGTTCTTTTCCTGTCATAGAAGAAGGGATTTTACCAGTATTCTTTTATTCTCCTCCTTCTGCTTCTACAGACACATTCAGCTCTGCACATGTAGAAGGTTTAGTGGGTGTTTTAGTCTGAAATAAATGAAAAAAAATCAAGTGCCTGCGTTTGGTGGAAGCGTCTGGTGAGACATGAAATGCAATCCAGGAAGTCTACATGCCGTTTGAGTAACAGATCGATGCGCCTGAAGGCTTATCGGACGCCGCGGCGCTGTGAGGCCCGATCCCGTCCTGCAGGAGGAATTTGTTTTCAGCGGATTGTGTCCTACGGCTGTGAGCGAATATGAAACACTACGATGGACGTATTTGTTCAAAGCAGGGTTCTATTCCACATTGAGTCATGAGTCATTATGCGATGAGAGCCGCACGGAGTCTAAATGTGGTGTTTTCTTATGGAAACAAACAAACGTCTCTCGGGACCTCGCGCCTGCTGACATGCAGTCGGTCCCTGGAGGACTTTGGTACTTGTAGAACCCATTATAAAATAATACGTGTAGCCCGGGGCGGCGACGCGCTGTCAGGTCCCCCCCCCCCTCTCCATGTTTCCCCCGTCGTACCAGCTCGCCGACTTTTGGACATTTTGGATGCGCGAAAATAGACATTCAAGTGGTTTCAACCTACGCAATTTTTTCCGAAGGAATGAACACATTTTTGGGGCAGTTTCCACAACCTCATTGCAAATATTTGATGGCCGCTGCATCTCTTCTGCACCGCCCCAGAGAGACGCGTCGCCCTGTACTCTGCGGCATCAGGGGGCCGTAGTGAATTTTAAGCGTGCTTTGTCCCAACGCGCCGCCTTGGGCTTGGCTCTCCTTATGTTTTCACAAACATCCCAGAGAGGTGGTCTCCAATCTCTCTCTCTCTCTCTCTCTCTCTCTCTCTCTGTGTTCATTCATGTTGAACTGCTTCGACGCCCACGGCCCCCCAACATCCAAACATTTGCTCTTAAATCATGAAACATTCATGGAGTCCCAGATTCCCCCGCTCCCCGGGTGCCAAGCGTGCCCAAACAAACAAGTCCATTATCACCACCAGACGTCAAGACGGCGGGACGGGAAGCGGACCGCCTCACAGCCGCCACCCGACACTCAGGACAATCGTCTTTCCACAGTCGTCTTTTGTTGTCTGAGCACCGAAGGTCAAATAGCTTTTATGGTTCCTCGCTCTGCCGACACAAACACAAACGGTACCGTTACAGGGAGAAAAACAGCAGATGTCTGATTTTGCGTTCGTACGGGTCTTAGTTGTCTCTTCTTAAAGCGCGCAGCTCTCGCGTCAGCATCTCCGGCAGCTGCCTCCTCGCTCTTTGTTCTCGGCCCTCGGCTTTGTCTTGCGGGTGAAATGTTCATTGAGACGCGATACCGTCAGGCTGAAACCGACTCAGAGAGCCGGCTTCACGGCCTTCAGACCACATATTCATTACACACCAGACGTCTTATTCGTTTTGAAGTCGGGACCAATTTTTCAAACCTGTCAATGCCGATGTATTTTTGTCATGATGCCAGTGCATCATTTGGGGTTTTTTTGGAAGATAAACAACGAGTCAGTGAGTTTACATCATTGTTTTTACAGTTAGAATATCAATTAAAATCCAGCGTGCCTCAAAGATAAAACAAACCACCCGCCTCCTCCGCGCCGCGATGCGTTCAGCTCCTTAATTAAACCCCGGTGTCGCTGCCAGCGATCGGCTGACACTATCGTACCGATGGAATCATCCCTTCAGGCGGCCGTTTTCAAAATGTCGATGGCCATGATTTTGAGCACGGGAGGGCGCGAGAGGGCAATATCTTTCCAATTTGAGGGAGCGAGTGTCACTCGCTGCTCGTGCAGGAAGTATCGGTTGTTCCCGTTTCTCACTGGTTTCTGCTCCGGGTCCCAGTAAGAGGTGAAAGACGCAGGGACACGCGATAAAGATCGTTTATCGTTTTTCAACCTTTTGAAATGCAAATGTTGGCTCGGAGGCTCGCGATCTTCTAGCCCACACGATTTCCCGCCTCGCTCTGTTTTCACCATCGCACACCGTATCAGTCAGACCCTGTCGGCAGCGTTATCTCCACGCGGAGGCTGAATTAACGCAGATGGGCTCTTAGCAGCATCAGTGAAGTACGACGTGTGTGTCCATACGTGTAAACTCGCAGGGCGAACGCATGCTGGCATGCGACACCTGATTAGGTATTGTGACGTGTGGCTTAATGGGCTTTTCCTCGCTCGTCTCCAATGACAGATGACGGAGGACGGACCACTAACCTCTCCATGGAGGCATCGAACGATGCTTTTAATGTTTGGCTTCGCCCCGCTGAGGCGCAGACAACGTGTCATGAAACGCAAGCCTTTTGGCGGAAAATAGCCAATTTAGTTTAATGACCAAATACATTTGTTTATTTAACAGGAAGCAGATTGTCACACACAATCGAGCAGATGCAACAGATGCAAAGGGTGCTGAGCGGCATGTTGATGAAATGCTGCATGTAGGTTTAGAAGTACTGCGCATATCTCTCCCGAGCAAACAAATAGTGGAAAAGAAGTGTGCTCGAAAAACCTGATCTCCGGATTGAATCTTGTTTTATTTCTGTATTTCACTGTGGTCACGGGTGCGTGTGCAGCGCAGGGAGCAGGACTCTAATGCGTGAAGGTCGAGGCAGACAGGCTCAGTCCGGTGATTTTAGCGAGAATAGCTTGAAGGGGACATGCAACAAAGACTCCACGCGGCGACGATGATGAACCGACGAGTGACGGATGACTGGTAAGAGCCGGGTGAGCTGGGAAAAGGAGCAGGAGGTCATGTGGCTGCAGGGCCAATGAGGGACGGCTGGGATGCAATAGGATCAGTTGTGGGAATGATTCGGTATCGAGATGCACGATTATGTCGTTGAACTGAGATCGAACCAAAAAAAAAGAATCCTAACCCTTCGATTAAATGGGAAAATACGTCGTCAAGTGTTTTCATCCACCGTCGTGGATGGCGCTTCCTTCACATAGTCGTACATTCTTCTCCATTTCTTCAGCCCTGTAGCTTTCTGCCTGGTGTGAACAGGTAGGCGTATAATACGGTTTATGAAAGAGGACATCTGCTGAAAGAGCCCGAGGGCAGTTGATGGACAGGTCGCCAACGGCAACAGTCTCCGAGGAGGCTGTGGCTGAAGATGAGGGATAAAGGTTGACAGTAATGCCGTTCCATGCTTATCTTTACATTCTTCATTGGTGTTTGATGTCAATTACTTCCCCCCGCCCCTACTGCCACCCCCCCCCATTGAAAAAGGGGAATGTATGTTATTTTGTCTTTTGTTGGGCATTAATATTCCAACCAACTCGAAGAATTTATTAAAAAAAAAAATATCTAAATCCATAATAAATCTCGAAAACCGATGGTTGATCCCCTTTAATTCATCTAGAATAATAGTGAGGAGATTGTATTTCACCTCAAAGTTATAATATGGTCTGATATGAA